TCCCCCCCTTTCACAGCTCAGTTTGATCACAACCCAACACTCACAACTCCGTCAACCAGCAGTTTTTTGCCTCGGTAGTTTTATTACGAAAGGTCAGTCGAGCAGACGGGAAACAAAGATGGCGTCTGGCGTGTTTTTTTTCCGGGGTGAAGCGCGGCGTCTCCAGGCAGGTCGGGGTCAAAGGTCGAATCTCTGTCGGTTTGGTTTGCGTCCGGGAAGTCTTCAGGTGTCACACGTTAGCGTCTGGACGCCGGACCACAGCTTAGGGGGCCGCCATTAGCTATGAGGCGCAGCCATTAGCTAAGGGACGCCGCCATTAGCCAGGGGACGATGCCATTAGCTAAGGGGCGCCGCCATTAGCTAAGGGACGCCGCCATTAGCTAAGGGACGCCGCCATTAGCTAAGGGACGCCGCCATTAGCTAAGGGACGCCGCCATTGGCTAAGGGACGCCGCCATTAGCTGTGGGACAGCGTCCATGGCTGCCATTAGCCGTTAGCCAGGGGAAGGCGCCATTAGCTGTAGGGCACCGCCATTAGCTGTAGGACGCCGCCATTAGCTATGAGGCGCAGCCATTAGCTAAGGGACGCCGCCATTAGCTAAGGGGCTTCCCCAGCTACTGGACGCCGCCATTAGCTGTAGGACGCCGCCATTAGCTAAGGGGCTTCCCAGGCTGTGGGACGCCGCCATTAGCTGTGAGGCGCCGCCATTAGCTGCTGGACGCCACCCCAGGCTGTGGGACGCAGCCATTAGCTATGAGGCGCAGCCATTAGCTAAGGGACGCCGCCATTAGCTGTGGGCCACCGCCATTAGCTGTAGGACGCCGCCATTAGCTCTGGGACGCGCCCCCTCCTCCGCACGCCGCCGCTCTCCCTCCATCGGCGCCTCGGGTCCTGGGGTCGTTTTGGGTCGGTCGGGACGCGTCCGGTCGGAGTCCGTTGGGGGGGCGGAGCTACTTCCTGCGCCGCACGGCGGTTTTGATCTTGCGGCCGGCGATGGCCTGCGGCGGTCCGGCCGGAGACGCAGCGAAAGACTTAGCGGAGCTGGAAAACAATAAATAAAACTTTATTTAAACATCAGAGAATAACAAAAGCAGCTCAGAATCAGAGTTATTTACAGGAAAACAACGACTCCCAACTGGAGACAGAGGGAGGGAAAAACTGCATTTAGGAGGAAGAACCAGAGGAGGGGGGGAGAGAGACAGAAGGAGAGAACAAGAGAAAGTGAGAAAGAGGGAGAGAGAGGGGGCGAGAGAGTGAGAGCAAGAGAGATAAAGGGGGTAAGAGAGAGAGAGGGTGAGAAAGAGAGAGAAGGCAAGAGAGATGGGGTGAGAGAGCAAAAGCGAGAGAGAGAGGGCAAGAAAGAGAGAGGGCGAGAGTGCAAGAGAAAGAGGGAAAGAGTGAGGGGGGGGGGGGGCTCCACAGTAACAGACAGAACTGGTGGATATTAACAGGAATGTTCTTTTTAATCTTGTTCATTTAATATTTCTAGCTTTGTTTGTATGTTACTCTTGTTTAACCTTATGAGCTACTTTACTGTTGCACATACTTTTAAAGTTGATTTAAGTGTATCATAAGTGAAGAGCAGCAGACTAAATGTGGGCTTGTATGTACAAGTAAAATATATATAATATATATTTATAATAAAATATACATTTTTATTATGTAAAAAATGAGTAAAATGAAATATATATAGTAAAATGGAATATAATAAGATAAATAAATAGTAAAATAATAAAATAAAATAAAAATCTAAGATAAATATGTCAAAGTCATTGTTGAAGCATGCTAAAGGTTTAGCGTATTTTACTGTTTTATGGAATAACTTTGACCCAGTCTGTTTCATCTGAACACATTTAGACATTTATTACGGCTGATTATTCTCAATTCAATTCAATTAAATTTTATTTATATAGCGCCACATCACAACAACAGTTGTCTCACAGCGCTTTCCAAACAGAGCAGGTCAGACCCTACTCTGAAGTTAACTACAGAAACCCAACAATTCCCACCATGAGCAAGCACTAGGCGACACAGGCAAGGAAAAACTTCCTTTTAACAGGCAGAAACCTGGAGCAGAACCATGGCTC